ACACTATATTATTACCCCAGCAGACCATAGAACACTCCGAAACATTCTCAGCTTCCCGGGAAGCATACAGTGCAAGCAGCCGATTAAGCGCTCAAACACTAACAAACTGACAAGATCTTTCGCTGTCTATAGCCGGGTACCCATTCTCACCTGGGTTAAGTGAGGAAAATTCGTGTAAAGTGCCTTTCCCAAGGACACAACGTCGGGCCCTTGACGGGATTCGAACCCACGACCTTACGGTTGCGAGTCCGAGAGCCTAACCACTAGGCTACCGACGCCACAATGATTGTAACACGAATTTGCGCGATATAAATGTCATATCATTATTATCATAAGCGAACAATGTAATGCGAGATGGAGGGTTGGAAAGGGGGGGGGCAAATGTAAGAAACGTGTAAGAAGGAGGGGGGGGTTGCAAAAAGTCCCCAAAAGGGTGTAAGATTATATCTGAACAGCCCCCAACTAAGACCAACACACATAAAGCCAGTGAAATAAGGACAAATATTAACGCTTTCTAATATTAAGACAAATGGAATTATCATCCCGTTTTATTTCCATAAAAAGACAATATAATTTAGTTTCGAGACATATCTTCAATATGAAATAAAAGTACATTAAAATTTGGTCAACGTTTCACGTACATTTAGAATACATTATGGGACAATGGGGACAATAAATAATGTCGTCAACACAGTGCAGGAAAAAGATTACCATCAACTACATAGACAACTTTCATCAACAGATGTATGAGGAGCATTCTAAGAATTAAGTGGCAGGATAGAATAAGAAATGAAGAACTGTGGGAAAGGACAGGACAAAAGGATATAGAAGTAGAAATAGGACTAAGAAAGTGGCGATGGATGGGACACACCTTAAGAAAGCCCAGCGGAAACATCACAAGACAGTCACTGCAGTGGAACCCACAAGGAGCACGAGGCAGGGGTAGGCCACGGGAAACATGGAGGAGATGCGTGGAAAGGGACATGAGAGAAATGAAGCTCACTTGGAACGAGCTTGGAAGGATGGCTCAGGACAGAGATAAATGGAAGGAGCTTGTATGTGGCCTATACCCTGCCAGGCGTGAAAGGCATTGATGATGATGACATTGACAACTAAGAAAAGGGCACTCATTCTATAATAGCAGAGCAACTATCACTGCCTACATCGAGACTAGAACATTTAATAGAAGTATTGTAATCATGTACATGTAATATGACAAAACTGGCAGGCGCAATCGTCCCTTCTGCCGTCACTGAATGATTTTTTCAAGGCGATCTTGTTTATCGATCATTTGGTGTCGGGGAAAAAAGGAAGACGGACCGACAGAGGCAAAAGAAGTTGGAGTAAGACGGGCCAGAATAATAATAATAAATAGCATTTGTATAGCGCATATCCCCGCTCAACAGCAGGCTCGATGCGCTTTACACTATAATAATACCCCAGCAGACCATAGAACACTCCGAAACATTCTCAGCTTCCCGGGAAGCATACAGTGCAAGCAGCTGATTAAGCGCTCAAACACTAACAAACAGACAAGATCTTTCGCTGTCTTTCGCAGAAGGTGCCGCCCTAACCTCTCAGTAAGGCAGATTTGAATGCTGACTTAACTACCAGCGTTCAAGAACAAACATATGGGATCTTGAGCAAAGACAGAGGCACAAGAAAGCAATATAAGAGTAAAACAGAGCTACATGTACATGAATAGTAAAGCATGTCAGACATAAATACGTGTAAACTCGAAAACATAAATCATTCTTCAGACCTCGCTCTTTTTCTACCTTTTACTGTACAGAACCATGTATGTTCCATGTATTTATTTCACAGGAAATTCGAACTAAAATTATTTCAACGAAAAATAAAACCGTTTAACTTTCAAGAGAGACCAAACAAAAAGAACATGGTATCAACAGTTTTGCAAGGCTCTTCAGCTAAGTTTTGTAAAGCCTATGAAGTAGCATAAGTCCAAGAGCTCGTTGTGGAAGCTGATGGCTAAGTTAAAGGAACTGCAGTGAGAGAAATGAATGTGTATGCTTTGCTGCGACAGCGTTCTAAGTTGTTCGAAGTCCGCCATTCGAGATAGCGCACAATGAGGTTCAAGGAGAATAGAGATAGATCTGAGAAAGACGAGGGGAGGGGGGGGCATTGGGATTACACTGAGAAGACCACGTCAGTCAAAGTCACTTGCCGCTGAATCCAAAAATTCACTCTTGATACAAAAACAAAATTAAATTGAGTTTGGTTGTCCAGATGGTTACTGGCCTTTGAACAAATGCAGAGAGAAGAAATGCGTGGTTTACTTTGATACAACTTCGTCACCGCAGGCCTACTACTAGATCTAGTGTGCACAGACACGGTACTGTCAAGAAATTGGGGCTACTTAGCTCACCGTTAAATATCTCAAAGCATCCATCATAGTCAGGTCGTTGCCTTGTTGTAAAAACAACAAACCAACCAAACATTGCTCAGCGTCAGTTATGCTTACACCACTAAAATACACATATATCTATCTCGAATTACAACAAAATGATGATAAACAAAGTGGCTCCAATGAGCTCGAATGTGTGTGTTCAACCATAATTGCAACAGCTGAAGTCTAGTTTTTATCCACAGGATTCAGAAGTATTGGCTGTGTGTTAACTTTACAAACGTTGTAAACTTCTATAAGCAATGACTAAGATTGAAGCAACCCATCAATATGTCAATGTATTCGTCACAAATTCAAATAACAATTTCTAAAATGTCAATGACCGTCAAATTATGAAGAGCTTTCCTGTCCCTCCAAAATGGCCTTCAGTTTTCCAGACTTTTGAAGAAGGTTCAGCTCCTTCTCTCCTCCAACGTATTTCCCATCAACAAATAACTGTGGAACCTGCAAAAGGTTTAAAGGGAAAACTAGATGAGCCTTTCTCTTCACAAGAAAGTATAATTACGAAATATTTGCACACGTATATTTCAATTTGCAAATTACCAGAACGATACCAGAAGCACACATCTTTTTTTATTTGTAAGTGTTTTACGGCGCTCGCAACAGCATAAGGTCATATGAGCGCACGAGATACATTAAACATTTTCAGTTGGAAGGGAATTAGAATGTGCCCGGGTAGCGGACGAAGCCTACTCTTATCGATTTTAGACCACCAAGGGACCTTTAACGTGCGCAACTTGAACACGGGACCTCCGAGATTTTTTGCCCTTGTCCGAGAAGGCTAGGTGTAGATCAGGGGTGTGACTGAAAGGCTGCAGAAAGAGTCATGAGCCTAAGGGATGGAGCAATCGAGGTGAGGGGTCGAGCCGCAAGCCCGACGGTGTGTCCTCGAGAAAGGCACTTTACACACATTTCCTCACTTCACGCAGGTGGGAATGGATACCCGGCCATAGACAGCGAAAGACTTAACAGTATGTTAGTGTTTTAGTGGTTATAAATGGCTGCTTGCACTGTATGCTTTCCAAGAAAGTGGAGGTTGTTTCAGAATACTCTCAGGTCTGCTGGGGGTAAAAGTGTAGATTGTGAAGCGCATAGAGCTTGCTATTGAGCGGGGATTTGCACAATACAAATGCTATCTATCTATTATTATTGTTAAAGTCAGTGACCTTGTCATTTATTTTTACTGTGACTGATTCTTGCGGCTCTGTATTGCAACATAATCTACGACAAATCTTTATTTTGAACCCCCCCCCCCCTCCCTTCCAATAGTATGTGATAAGATTTATACTTGCAAGATATTGTGAATAATTAAAGCTCTGTTCATCTCCAGATCAAACCATTATATTTAACTTGAACTCAGACGCATTGATGTATACCCAAAGTCAAAGACACACCACAAAGCCAAAAACAGACACAAATCTGTTTCGATTTTTGATGATCAGAAAATTTGAATTCAAATCAGTATTTGTCTTTTTCAATTCACTGACCATTCTATACGGGCCGACCAATGAACTGAGCTGGACGGCCCAATTTAGGACAAAAAACGAAACGGTCTTCAAGCGTGATGCGATCGAGAAGAAGAAGATTTCTGTGTGTGTGTGTGTGTGTGTGTGTGTGTGTGTGTGTGTGTGTGTGTGTGTGTGTGTGTGTGTTTGTGTGTGTGTCTATCCAATTATCTATCTATCTATCTTTCTATCTATCTATCTATCTATCTATATATATATATCTATCTATATATCTATCTATCTATCTATCTATCTATCTATCCATCTGTCTGTCTATCTGTATATCTATCTATCCATCTATCTATCCCTCTCCTCTCCCCCCTCTCTCTCTCTCTTTAACGCCTCTCTCTCTCTCTCTCTCTCTCTCTCTCTCTCTCTCTCTCTCACACACACACACACACACACACACACACACACACACACACACACACACACACACACACACACACACGCGCGCGCGCGCGCGCGCGCACGCGCACACACGCGCACACACGCACACACTCATACACACACACACACACACACACATGAATATCTCTGTACACAGACAGACACAAGGGTAAGACTGCACTTAATCATGAGCAATCACATACGAGATATCTGCACTGTTCCTGGTTTCTTCCTATTTAACTTTTCAACTTGTAAATATTTTTCACGTACCGCTCTTGAGTCTGTCAGACACAATATTTGAAAATAGTTTTCAATTTGGACACAATCTTGTCTCCGCTCTATCTCTACGACTTCATAATCTTTGTCTGGTAATTTATACTCATCTAGGAATTCTCTTACAAATTTACACTCCGGTGAATACGACTTCGCAAACAAAACCACTCTTCTTTGCTTCAGCTTATGATCAACAAACTTTCTTGCCCCAGCCATCTCTGTAAAGTTTATGGCTATATTTATGAATCAGAAAATCTACCAAGAACTCTAAACGAAACGGCAATAATAATAAGTAGGGTGGTTCGAAGTACCCTCAACTTCTTCTGAGCAAGTTAATGTTTGTGTACATTGACAACAAGTAGAAGTACAAATTTTCCTTCTTTGGAAAAAGATTTCGTTTACTCCAAACGTGATTGAGTTATGTCGTTATGAGAATATAGCTGGATTTTATCAACATTTTCTAATGATTTGATTTGCTGTATTCGATAATTACAGTTAAAGATGCTTAGAAAATTGATATAATAACATCTTTGTGTTATTAAGCGATATTAATATTTTACGACATTTAAAATTTGGCTTGCATCCTGCTCTCGTACACACAGCAAAGAGTGATGCACCTTTCCTTTCATCATCATTGGTATTGATGGTCCAATGCTGGTAGATTTAGTTAGTCCCTATTGAGTTTAGGGTGCTGTAACTCTGAAGTGTAACCATTGGTTCTTGACAGCCACATTAGCAGTAGTGGATCTAGAATTTAGTTGTTTTGTTCGTTTATTTTGTTTTAATTCGTATGAAAGTGAATATAAACTGAAATGTAAATCTGAGTCAGCAAGGCCTTGCCGTTTACAGCCACCGTACGCTGGTCGGTAATAGCTCTACCTACTCTTGAATTAAGAAACATCCTCAACCACAGAGTGGACGAGACAAGACTGGGAATCCTCCCCAAGACTGTCTTTCCAGTTTTGGATCAGGTCAGATGGAGATCTAGGTTTTGGATCTAAGAAGCAAGTAGATCAGAACGCTGATGAGTTCTGCTGATTGCTAACACTGCTGAGACTGGAACAGCGGAAGCTACAATTTACGGAAGGTAAAGTACTGCTGAAGGTTGGGAAGGAATCTTTCTAGAATATAGATTTTAGAATCTAGATTTAGATCTAGAATCTAGATCTAGATCTAGGCTATGTTAAACTAATAACGAATAATTTTGTGAGTTAAATTCTAGATTCTATGTCAGGGAGGACTTCCGTAACGAGCGACCACTATGATGAGACAGAGCAGAATTGAGGGCTTGGGGCAGGGGTAGGGTTAGGTCTAGGCCTCTTCTTTATTGTGTTTGATGGGGTGGTCGCTCGTTACTGAAGTCCTTCCCTCTATATCATATTGAAATTAAGTATATCAATCAGCTGAGATGCAGAGTTTTTGTGGTAGCGTTTATTGCGACAGAGTGACGCTGTGACAACCAACATGGCGTTTTGAGACACAGTGACTCTGTGATAATTAGATATCTAACTCTTGTCCTGCATCTGTGCCGAGATGCGAATCTTATCAGCAACCGATTACGTCGGACGTGCCGGGTAGGTCGCCGGGGTCACTCAGTGTGTACTGTTGGTGTACAGCGCGCGCCTGGAAACGTGTGTTTTCGCCATGAATACCGCGGGAGTGTGTTAACCGATGATGAAAATAATGCTCTATCTTTTCATAGCTTTCTATTTATAAAGTGTTACAACTTACAAACACACGAATAACCCCCTCTCACAAGCTGATAAAAGACATTACAAGTAGTTTACGCCCATTCGAACCTTTCTGGACGCTCTTGTTGCTATGAATGACCTGAGGTTCGAAAGGGGATAATATAGGTCAATTTCCAAATGTTTTACACTCAAATTGTATTGTTCTTTGTACCTGCACTTTGGTATTCAAAACTATCAAACAAGCTCATTTTTTATCAGGTAAAATAGCTAGTATCATTTCATACAAAATCAAGCTCATTTAAAAGATTTTGTATAGAAAAATGGAAGTCTTGTTTCCTGACTATCCTTTCAAGCTCCTCATGGCTAAGTGGGTAAATTTTTCTATAATTTCATTGGACGAACATCTAGAGCTGCCAACTTGGCATGTTTTGAATGAGACAACATATGCCTCGATTACGAACCAACGCAGGCGATTCTAGAAGAAGGCCACAAACTCAAGCAGACTGACGCACACACACTTGACCTACATGAATGGGGATCCGACTCGGGACCCGAATACACGTAAAATGATGCGCGCTGCGCGAGCGCTGAGCCAGGGTCTACACTGATTCAGGACCAGAACGCTGACGGGGTGCCGAAATAGGCTTTTCGAACAACATAAACCCGGCTCCCGCAGGACGAGGGTTAAAATCCAAAGTGATAAAGACATCGAAAAAGTGATAGCAGGACTAGATTCTGCACTAAAAATCACATGAAGATGCCAAAGTTTCATTCATATGCTCCAATTCATCACGACTTATGAACAGTTTTTCCTCAAAATAAATCATGACATACATGGTATGTCCCACATTTTGGCGATATTTTCCTATATGAAGGTCCTCCAACATTTTGCCATTTATCAATGGATTTTTAAAAATTAAAAACCATTGTTCTTAGAATTTACTCTTCTTTTCATTTAAGCCCATTTTTAAGCGATTTGGATGAATATTTAATTTTTCATTGTCATTGCCACAAGCATGTGCGGTGTGCGTTTGAGCGTGAGAGTGTGTGTGTGTGTGTGAGTGAATATATATGTGCAATTTTCACATTTTGTGCGTGTGTGTGTGAGACAGGGTGTGTGAGTGTGCATGTGTGTTTTTCTTTTTATTTAACTTCTTTTTTTGTCAAAGACTCACTCTGTCGTAATTACCCCATTAACCCTCCTCCTGCGGGAGCCAGGTTTATGTCGCCCGATAAGCCTGTTTCGGCACCTCGCCTACGTTCTGGTCCCGAATCAGTGTAGCCCATGGCTCAGCGCAGGCGCAGCACGCATCATGTTACGTGTCATTCGGGTCCCGAGTCGAATCCCCATTCACGCAGGTCAAGTGTGAGTGCGTCAGTCTGCTTGAATTTGTGTGCGTTTGTGGCTTATACGCGCGCGCACACACACACACACACACACACACACCAAATTAACAAACAATGACAGTTGCACAGCTCTTTTCTTGTTGTTGTTGTTGCCCCTAGTGGTACTTGTTGCTGTTGTATGCTGCTGATGTTTTGTTGTAATATTTAATATTATAATAATTGCATTTTTATATAGCGCATATCCACGCTCAAGAGCATGCTCTATGCGCTTTACAACTATTATTACCCCAGCAGACCCTCTGAGAACACTCAGAAACATACTCAGCTTCCGCGGAAGCATACAGTGCAAGCTGCGGATTTCACGCGCTCAAACACTATCAAACTGACAAGATCGTTCACCGTCTATAGCCGGGTACCCATTTCCACCTTGGTGAAGTGAGGAAAATTTGTGCAAAGTGCCTTTCCCAAGGACACAACGTCGGGCCCCTGACGGGATTCGAACCCACGACCTTACGGTTGCGAGTCCGAGAGCCTAACCACTAGGCCACCGATGCCACTGTTGCCTCAATATTTGGGCTGTCTATAATGTGTACAGATAAAGTCAACTCTACTGTACAGAAAGTCTTTGTGGATTTTTGCCACACTCTTTAAGCATTCTCAACTGTTTCTGATGATTTTTTCTTATTATAAGGCAACAGAATTTTTGTTCATCTTTAAATTTAGCAAAACTTTGTCAAATTCGTGGTGAGATTTAAATGCCTGCTCTAGAAAGCCTTCATTTTCAAGCGGAGATTAGATAAAACTAGTACCATGCTGGGATGCGAAGCAGAAATGATAGATCTAGATGATGTTAGATTCTAATCATCAACGTAAAAGAGCTCCATGTTCACTCTGTCTCAATTAACGCTGCGTTAGTTGTCACACGGTCATTCTGTCGCAATTAACACTACCTTTTTTTTATTTTTATGTGTACCGATTTAGGTCTGGCCAGGCAGTGGTGTAGTGAAATGTCCAGACTTGGAAAGAAGGCTATTGAAGTTGGTTGAAGGAATAATTTCCAGACATTCGAACTATGAAAAACGTTGATCAAAGGCACAAAAATGTAAATTTGCAGTTTTCAAGTAGGCTATATTCAAGCCTTTGGAAACTCCAGACGTTGGCAGCCGTTTTCTCTCTAGTTTTACCTTTGACACCAGCAAACCCACCTTCTTTAATTAATATAAAATTGCTATATATATCTTGACTTTTCTGTTCAAGACGAGATGCATATTATTTTCTTCTAAAGCAAGACAAATAAACATATATATGTTTTAATAACATCAATAAACATTTAAATATAACTCCATATCCCCAAAATTTGACAAGAGCCTAATTCCACCTTGTCATGACCCATTATCTCTTTTTTGCTTCCAGACCTAAGACAGCCTAATGAGAGTTTTGGAGACTGATCCGTCTATTTCCTACAAAATGGGTAAGAACAGAAGGCACCGGATACGCAAAGCGAAGGAGAATGATGCTGAAGATTCGAGTGATGATGGAGGACAAGGTTAGTAGAGGATATTTTATTGATTTATGTTATATGATGTTCGTTTGCACTTACTTAAAAGTTATTCATCTCTGTTCTCAGGTACCTATGTTATTTATGTGTTCTCAGGTACCTATGTTATTTGTGTGTTCTCAGATGCCTATGTTATTTGTGTGTTCTCAGGTACCTATGTTATTCATGTGTTCTCAGGTACCTATGTTATATATATATGTGTGTTCTCAGGTACCTATGTTATTCATGTGTTCTCAGGTGCCTATGTTATTTGTGTGTTTTCAGGTACCTATGTCAAACGTGATTTCGTGTTGTTGATGAAATAAATTACATACTAAGTTCAGAACAAAGACTGTTGAAGTTATTAATAATACGAAATCACGAATTACAAAGGTACCTGAGAATACACAATAACAAGTGCAAATAAACATGCATGTATATATATATATACATATAACATAAATCAATTGAATATCCACTAGTTAGAGATTTTTCTACGTATTCGAGGGTTGATATTCAGTTAACACATCTGTCAGATTATATTATTTGTCGTTTCTATGAGCTGTGAGTGGTATACATACTTTAAAGTAATCTTACTCATTGAAAAGACTGTCATATGATGTCGTTTCCTCTGTGGTTTTTTAAAAAACTTTTTGTAGGGTCAGTTTCCTTAAAATTGAAAAGAAGTCCGACAGCAGTACTTTGTAATTTTCTTTGAGCCTCAAAAGTGATTGGCAGGAGGTTCATGCAACAATGACAAGTTTTGCATTTTTTTCTTACCTCATAGAGATTTATTAATTAATTTATTTTTTATTTTTTTGGTCCTCAGGATGTCCTCATGTGACAAAAGCAGTCAACTTGGCAGCGATGAGAAAGACAGTTTTGAAATTAACTACTTCCTTGGGTGAATGCACAGTGAGTGATGTTTGCTTTTTTTGCCCCATCTTATTCTCAAGGAACTCGCAAGGAATACAGAAATTGTGTGAAATGTTTGTTTTAAAGAAATGTTTTTTATTTTCAACTCACTGAATGTTTTATTTTCTGTGATATTCTCAGATATAGTTACTGAACATTTATTTCTATATTATGATGATCAATAAAAAGTATTTGTTTGAAATGTTTTCATGTAAACTTAACCATGATATTTGTAGAAATGCTGTTTGAAGAGGACATTTTTTTTTATATGCCAAGGTATACCATGTATATATATAATGTTTGGAGTAGAACATTTCTGTGTTTTGTTATGTTATGGTGGATTTAATTTCTTTGTTGATTTTTTCTTTTTTACAAGAAAACTTGTGGGTGGTTGCCGGGCGCTCTGGTGTAGTTTGCTCCTTCTTTCCTATCAAACATCTATCTTCCTGATCTCTCCTTCTCTTCTGTGTTTGATACTCTATTGTAACACCTCTAATCTTTGGCACTTATATGATTTTATTGTATTGCAACTCTTACGAAAACAAGAAAACTTACAAGTACATTTTTCTTCCTTTGCTGCTGTGTGTCTGACAGCTGTGTAGCAAGGAGGCACCGAAAGCGGCGTCCAGAGATTTATTCGGAGGTTTGATAGAAGGGCCTGTCCCAGCCGCCGCAGAGGATGACGAGGCAGAGGTGATGGAGACCACTGTATGTATCTGCCTGCAGTGTGGACATCAGGTAAGTCCAATCTGTACTTTTGGCGTCACTCTGTAAGTATGTTGGTGGTTAGTGGCCGCTCTGGTGTCATTTGCTCCTTTTTTCCTCTGTCAAACGTCTTATCTTCCTTTAAATCTCTCCTTCTTTTCTTTGTATATCACTCTCCAGTACAACCTCTAAATCTTCATTACTGACATGACCTATTTGTGTGTTGCAAGTGCCGTAAAATTCTTATAAAAACTAAACTAGAACTAAAAGAGCTTGTAGGTACTTATTCAGATATTTCTTAGTCAAGTTGCTAACATGGGTGTCTTGGAGTCATAAAACCGGGGGTTCAGTTCCTAGCTCCCTTAAGTAGGATAGTGTATCCTTTGGCAATGTGCTTTTAATTATTTTTTCTTAGCTGACCCTATATCGATGGGCTTTAGACTATTGACAGAAGGTGGGATATGATATGCTGAACAGACTTCACATGGAATGTTCTTTCTGGGTCAAAGGTCGATAATTGGAATGTACAGGAATTAAACTGACTGGCAAAAGGAGCAATTTTTGCGAAGCTAAATGAGCCCTTTTGCCAGACCATACAGCCTGAGAAATGATATCACATTGTCTTTCACTTTTTAAAATATGGGCCACTGTCTGTCTTATCTTTTGATTTTCTCTTTGTTGTTTTATGTTTTAGCATAGCACGCTGGGGAGAAAGTTGTTTTAGCATGCTGGGGAGAAAGTTGTTTTAGCACGCTGGGGAGAAAGTTGTTTTAGCACGCTGGGGAGAAAGTTGTTTTAGCATGCTGGGGAGAAAGTTGTTTTAGCATGCTGGGGAGAAAGTTGCAGCATAAATTCGTTAGGAGTTGAAATTACAAAAGAAAAAAATGCTCTCCTGTAGGAGTAGCGCTTAAATAAAGCTAAGACTTACCTCTTGAGTTATTGTGAGTTGAACTGCTCGCCTCTCGGTCTTGATTTTTACTCACTATCACTCTCGCGGAGAGTGACGTCCCTTGTCCTTGTGAGGTCAATGCGATCGTACTCGTAGTGCTTCGCATTTCGCATAATCCCACACTAAAGTAAAGGTTTCCAAATTGGTGTAGTTTGCTGCTAGCATGTGATCTTTTGATTGAAGATACCAATACTTATGTGCTTATTTGTCAACCCCTTTTGTTTCCTCAGGGCTGTGACAGAAATTCAGTCAACAGACATGCCTTGAAGCATTATAAAACCCCTCATTCTAGTCTACACAGTATCATTGTTAATCTAACCAACTGGTCCACATGGTAAGTGGGAAATACGTTTGAATCATCTTTTTAAAGTTGCTGTACCTCTGAGATCATTTTTAATAAGTCATGAAGATTTTGAGTTTTGTTCCTAACTCCTGGAAAATTACTTTGGATTGGTTACACCTTGTCAGTTGCTTTGAAAAGTAATTGACAGGTTGATTTTGTTCCTTCTCATACCTACTGGGGATTTTCAAAAGTCATGAATAACGTGCCATAATTAGAAACAAAACCATATCAAATTTCTTACCTATTTTTATAAGTTACAGTAAGCATTTCATGGATTGGAAATAGTAGCATTAAAATACTCAACTAGAGAATATAGTCCAGTGCATTTGTCCCAAAAATACGCGGCTATTTGCATGTTTCTTTTTGTCCAAGTTTAAAGCCGTGCAACATAATGCTTTGTTGTTTTTTTTGTTTCCTTTTTCTTGTGCAACCCAGCTTGTATCAGTACCATGGGAATGATGTCTTTCATCTTAGTATTACGATGAGAAAGAATATTGATAGTTATTGAAGAGTGCTTTTTGTTGTCCAATGAAATAGTAAAAATGCAAGTTAAGCTAAATTTCTAGTTTTAAAAACCTGCTTTTGTCTGTGATGCCTGACCTTGCAGGTGTTATATGTGTGATGAAGAGGTACCCCCAGGCCCTCGGATCCAAGGATGTATCGACTTCTTGCACAAACAGAGTGGTCTTGCAAAGCCAGAACCTTTATTACCAATGGGTAAGATACTAATAGTCTTTTTTTTAGGTGGTGGTGTTTATTTTGTGGTGTGCAGCTGTAGTTGCATATTTTGATCATTTATGGGGAAAAAGAATAGGTATAGTCTCCTCTCAACTTGGGGCTCCTCAGAAAGCGAAACTTGACCTGTTATCAGAAATTGTACTTATTTTAGACTATTTCCACACAGAGTAACCTTTGTTTTGACTCTCAGAAAGTGAGTTGAGTACCTTGGCATATGGGTTCATCATTTTTTTTTTCTTTCTTGTACAAAAAATATGCACCTGCTTTATGAAGGATGTGCAAAGAAATGCTCAAATGTGTTCAATTGTTTAAGATGTTTAAAGAAAAGCACATATTTATCTGTATGTGATTGAAAGGTACCACTAGTAAGTCTGACTTCTTCTTTTTTTCCACTCTACTTTCTGTCTATCTTGCTGTTTCCTTCATTATGTGACTCAAATTTTGCTGATCTGCATCTCTTTTCTCAAAGCAAACAAACTAAGGTTTTATCAACCCTTTTCTCAAGCAGGTCGAACCCCCGACAGTCCAATGGCAGAAGCTGCCCCAGCCATGAACGGTCCTTCTTCAAAGAGCTCTGGATCATGTGTGAAAGTCAAGGTAGGGCGTGAATTGTATGAAAGGAAAGCTCAAACAAAATGTCTTTTTGTGGTATCAATTTCGTTTGAATATCTCACAAATAGCTATGATGTTGTCTAGTTATTATGAACTGCTGCATCAAAATGGTCTTGGTTTGCTTTATAAAGGGTATGTTTCTTCATTATGTGAATCTCCTTTTGGGGTGAAAATATTTTTGGCGTTGAATTGTTTTAAAATTTAAAATTAAAATTTTTTTGCATTTGTCTCTTTTGTTCATTGTATTAAAATAATACATAACTGTTCTGTCAAATGAACATTAAGCTGTTCTAATGTATCAATCAACTGAAGTCTTGGTGTTTGATTCTGGTGTTGGACATGTTCCAATCTCTAGTTGAAAAAATGTGAATCAGAATTTCACTCTGGTAGAATTTGTTGAGCCCTACTGCCTCTTTTATGGCAACTTCACATCGACGGTTTTGATTTCTCGACAGGGCCTGAGCAACTTGGGAAACACCTGTTTCTTCAATGCGGTTATGCAGGTATGCCACTTGTTCGTCATATTTTTTAAAAATTGTTTGTTTTATTAAAACATCTAGCTCTCACTGGCAAAATTGAGGGCAAGCGAGACAGGGGTAGGCCCAGAACAACATACTTAGGGAACCTAAACAAATGGGTAACAGGGAAAGATCAGGGAAACGTAGCTTTTCTGAGAGCATCCGAGCAAAGGAATGAATGGAAAATCATGATCGCCGATGTCTGTCGCAGATCTGGCACTGGATGATGATGTTGTTTTATTTAAAAAGTTTTCCATTGTGTACATATACGGTTTCTAATGATGCATTTGATCTGTGGGTTTACTTTGTTTGTTTGTTTTGGTACAGTGTTTTACGGCGCTCGCAACTGCATACGGTCATATGAGCGCGCAGGACACACCTAATATTTTCAGTTAGTAGGAAATTTTGAATTTTGCTCGGGTGGCGGCCGAAGCCTACTCTTATCGATTTTAGACCACCAAAGGATCTTTAACGTGCGTAACTTGCACACGTGCCCTCCGAGATTTTTTCGCCCTTGTCCGAGAAGGCTAGGTGTAAATCTTTCCTACCAGAAGATCAGGGGTGTGGCTGAAAGACAGCAGTAAGAAGAAGCGAAGGAGTAGCAGTAGAAAGGCTGCAGAAAGAATCAGGAGCCCAGAGGAAGGGACAAAGGAGGTGTGGGGGTGGGGGCAGAAGGAGGAGACGAAAGCAGACGACAGAACATTGCTAGAGAGCAGGAAATGAGGTGAAAGGAGACAAATTTAGAGAAGAAAATTTTTCTGTCGCTACCCGGATTCGAACCCGGGACCGTTTGAGTGAGAGGCCAACACCGTAACCTCTAGGCCACGAGAGCCCCCGGGTTTACTTAAAAAAATATATATATTATAAAGTCTGCATATAAATAATAGATCAAAGTCATAAATGTCTTAAGATTTTTATGTCAAGGAAGTTGCGTGCCTTGTTCATTATTCAGTATGTCTTAAAATAATATTATAAAAGACATAAGTTTGGGTACAAACTACTTACCCCCTGGGGGCCATGTGCAAAAATAAAATTTCAAGTTATTAGTATTCTTATTAGTGGTTGGTGGGTGCTCTGGTGTGTGGTTTGCTCCTTCTTTCCTATCAAATATCCATTTTCTTTATCTCTCCTTCTTTTTTGTGTTTGTTACTCTCTCGCAACACCTCTTTAATCTTCGGCACTTATATGACCTTATTGTGTTGCAAGTTCCGTAAAACACTTACTAAAACTATACTATTATTTTTTTTAACAATTATTTTGGAGGTGGTAAACCATTAACGCTTTGCTGTCTCGTCTCACTGATCGGCGATGTTTACCACCCATTTTCTTTAGTTTTTCCACAAAAGGCATTTGCCTTTGATGGCAAGGGTTTTTGCTATAGGAGTCTTGTGATGGCAAAGTGTTAAACAATCAATTCTCGTTTCTCCCTCAGAGCATCTCGCAGACACGTGGCCTGGAGAGCCTCCTGGTGGACTGGAGCAAGCACGGCAAGCTGTGCACCATCCTGGGCCCCGAGCCGGCCGTCGACAGTGACTGCAGCTCCAGCGACGAGGAGAGAGACGATGAGGCTGCGGAGAAGAAACCATTGGTGAGAGTCTTCTTCTTTTTCTTCTTTTCGACCGGAGTCTTCTTCTTTTTCTTCTTTTCGACCGGAGTCTTCTTCTTTTTCTTCTTCTTTTCGGCCGGAGTCTTCTTCTTCTTCTTCTTCTTCTTCTTCTTCTTCTTCTTCTTCTTCTTCTTCTTCTTCTTCTTATTTTCGACGGCATCACACTTGGAGTGCAGTTGCTGTCCTATACTGGGCCCTCCTTCTCAGTTCCTCTGTCGTCCCGTGCAACGTTTTTTTGTAGTGTCATTGGGGGTTGGCCACGTTTCCTGTCTCAGGGTCCTGTGTGTCTTGCACTGCTGAAGGATGCGCTCCACAGTAGTGATGGTGTTATGCTCTGACTGTAACTGGTTTCTTGAGCATATTTCAGCTCGCAGGCAAAAAAAAGGTTATCAGATGAAAATTCTTTTCTACATAGTGATTGCAGTGTCTTGCAGGTTGCCAGAACTCGAGGTTCAACATATTCTGTCTTCCATTGTCTTTTAAGGCCTCATGTCACTCTTTCATGTTTGACCAGTGTAAATTACTGGCTGTCTATCGTGCATTTGAATCATGATTCAATTTTGTTACTAGGGCAAAACTCCCCCAGCTGTTTTGTAGATGATGTGAATACTTCAATTCTCAAAAAAATATAATGTCTCTCTTTTCCAGCCAAGTATTCAGACAACGTATCAGGATGCTGGACCTATCACAGTCGCTCTACTCAACTTTTTGCAAGAGATGAAGGGAGGAACCACGAGGAATGGCACTGTGAACCCTAATGCCCTGTTCACGCAAGTCTGTAAAAAGTAAGAGATTAAAGATTTCACAATAAGAGGTTAGAGATTTTTACTAGTACAAAATGAGAGGTCAAAGGTTGTACTGGTAAAATGAAACAATAAGAGGTTAGAGATTTTTACTAGTACAAAGTGAGAGGTCAAAGGTTGTACTGGTAAAATGTAAGATGTTTAAAATTGTATTTCTGAAAAATAAGAGATTCTACTGTAATAGTAGTAGTAAGAGATCTACAGGTCAGCAATGTTACTACTGATGAAAATAAGATTTTACTGATAAAAACGTCAACGGTCAAGGACATAACTAGTTATTCTGTTTTTACTTATTTAGTTACCTACCTTTGTGATCATTTGGTATGAGAGTATGTTGAAAGGTGCATTTTGAATTCCCATATATGCCGTTATTCTGAATCTTTTTCTTCCATTTTCACCAGAGCCCCGAGGTTCAAAGGTTTCCAACAACAGGACAGCCATGAGCTGTTGAGGTATCTCATCGACTGCATCCGGATGGAAGAAATTAAGGCAAGGCAGAGTTTGTTATTGACCCTTTGCATTCTGGTTTCATGCATTGTGCACTGTTAAAAAGTTGTTGGGGGGGGGGGGGGGGGGGGGTCCAGTCGTCTGCCAATTAAACCCCCCAAAAAATTATTTTTTTTAACATCATTTCCTCATGTATGTTTGAGCTCTATGAAGTTTTCAGGCAGGATTGACGTTTGTTGTCAAAAGCTTGAAAGAAATTTTACAAATATTTTTGGCCATCATTTTGATTTTCTAATTCTATTTTAATCATTTGTGTTCAAGTACGAGTGGTAATATTTGCAAAACGTTAAGCATTATGATAATGAAATGTCTTGGAATTTATTCACCCACATTACTTGTGGGTGGTTGGCAGGTGCTCTGATGTGGTTTGTTTCTTCTTTCCTATGAAACATCTATCGTCCTTATCTCCCCTTCTTCTTTTTTATGTTTGTTACTCTCTTGTAACACCTCTTATCTTCTGGCGCTCATATGACCTTATGCAGTTGTGAGCGCCATAAAACCTCTACTAAAACTTTTTGAAACCACATAACTTGTACGATTATGTTAATTGTTCATGGCATGTCTTGTCTGTGTCATTTGTACTCAGAATGTGGAGTGTCTTTTTATTTTTGTAACATGTTTGATGTCATTGGCTTTGTTTCAACTCAAATGTTTCTCTTAGTTGAGTGAGGTGGCTGTTTTATAAAACCAGAAAAGTTTCTTAAAATAAATTTTCTTTTTCTGTCAACAGAGGGGTCAATCATCCATTCTAAAATTTTTCAAACTACCAGACACGATACATCCAAAGAAAGTTGATGAAGAGACGAAATTGAAAGTGAAAGGTATGTACAATTTTTCATAATGTTGTTGGATGTATTATAAAAGTTTGTTATTAGAAATTGTAGTGTTTACATCAGACTAATTGCAAAAGGCTGTGGAAAATCTCTTGGATTTCAGTTACTGTGCAAGAGGGTAGAGGTGGGCAAAATCCGGATAATCTATAAGGATAACCGGATACTTCTCAATGAAACATTATCCGAATTCAGACTCTTAAACTCTCTTTCCTGGCTCGTTTGCCGAAGTGGGTGCACCCATGTGTTGAAGTAATGCTAACCTGTTTGTCGAAGTGGTTCTAACCCATTTACCGAAGCGGTTCATATCATATTGTTTGCCGAAGAGGTGCACTAACATGGTATTCGGATTTTGCTAAAGCGACTCATTGCCCAGCCCTACAAGAGGGCTCATTTTGTAGGGCCTGTTTTTTACTCTCCCAGAATTTGCAGTGATTTGAATGTAGAATGAATGTATGTGTGTGTGTCATTGTTTGTCAGTATGTTCTTTCAGTCAAATATGTAGCGTACCTCTATGCTTTTGGTCTTTGTCTAAATAAAAACATTCAACCAAATTGAAATGTGTCTTGTTTGAATAGCTGTATATATTTTCAGTACTCCTGTCTGTCAGTATGTTCTTTCAGTTAAATATGTAGCCTTCTTGTATGCTTTTGGCCTGTTTTCTGAATAGAAACTAAAATAATAAGACTGAATTGAAATGTGTCTTGTTTGAACAGCTGATTATATTTTCAGTACCCTCTCCTGTCTGATAACATGCTTGTTTTGCATACTTTTTTTTTAAATTTCAGAATACGGCCGGCAGGTGAAGCACACATTCCTGGACAGCTTGTTTGGTGGACAGCTAGTTAGTACTGTCAAGTGTGAGGAGTGTAAAAATGTAAGCTTTTAATGTTTTGTGACTCTAATCTTCTTCTTGTCTTTATGGCGTGTGTGAATATGTGTGTAGTATTGCTATTGTTGTTCCACAAAATTGTGCATCATTTTTTTTTTTATTGGTGGGGGGTCGGTAGGGGTTGGATGAACACAGCCTTGTGGTTTTTTTGCTCTGACTTTGAGGAGTGAAAATTGTTGTTGGTGTTGTTTCTTATTGTCCCCAACTTGTGAAATGCTGTCCAATAAAGTATATTTGATTTATCTGCATCATTTAAATTGTCTCTATATTTTCAGGCATCTCAAATCTTTGAAGCATTCTTGGATCTGTCCCTCCCTGTGATGGAAGAGAAGGTACAGTACTTTGAGACTTTTTATATTTTTTATTTTTTTTGCATAGTCTCATCATTGTGTTGATGGGGTAACTGCCATGTGGTTAACTATTTTAGAATTTAGAGTTAAAGATAGTAAGAAACCTGATCAGTCAGTCCCCTTTGCTGTTGCTAATTTCTAGTTGGATGTTTCCTCTCTTTTTCTCTGTTGACGGAAGGGGTTAGTGATGGCACAGACTGATTATTATTTTCTGTTGGCAGCTGTCAGAAAACTAGAGGTGGTGGAGTTGTTCTGAGATGAGTCACTTGTCGTTGTTTGTTAGGACGAGGGTGAAATTAAGTCCCGAAAAGGACGCTGAGCTGTTTGTCTTCAGTTAGGTGCTGATGCCATAATTTTATCTCCTGATTAATTCCCTTTATTGATACCTGTTGTGTGTATGCCCTGCCCTCCTCTCTGTGTGGTTTTGGAGAGAAAGATGAGATAAGGTTTTATCATCCCAGAGGAAAATTTTTCTTGGCTGTACAGGATCGTAAAAACACATGCAGGTATACATAAAAATGTAAATGATATTATATTACTCTCATTAAACTTTATATGAAAAGAGTAAGTAAAGCTGACGAAATATACACATCACATCGGATGCATCATTCAACCACATGCAGGAATTTAATTACAGACCTTAAGAGTTATATAGATACATATCGAAAGAGCAATACACGTTGATGCTTATTCTGATATTAGCCTTATGCCAGATGTTAAAAAACTTCTTTTATTACTTTCTTTGTTTTTAGAGGTACATGTCTGTCGCTGTGTGATCTTACAATTTGCGTGGAAAGGGGGTGTGATGAAAAGCTGAAGAAGTGACCCTTCTCAAAAGATGTAACTGTGTTGTGACTCGACTGCAATAGAAAATATCTTCTATTTTTAGAAAAGTAACGAAATGTTCTTGTTTCCCCCACAAAGCCCCAAAGGCCAAATCTGGTTCTGATCGGCAAGAAGAAAGATTCGGTCAGCGTGAGTGAGGCGGGAGACGAGGGTGGAGCTGCCGCAGCGGCTGCGTCTGCCATGGGCCTGGACGCCTGCGACAAACCCAGCAAGTACCAGGAGCGGAAAAACAAGAGACTGCAGAAAAAAGAGGCCAAGGTAAGTAAGCTTGAACAAGTTGTGGTGCTTATGTTTTAGCTTTTCCTCATTTTAAGATTGAAGCAGTATTAAGATACTTGGGAAAAGTTTAGTTGGAAGGGGGTTTATTCACCAGATCTTTCTAAGATTGTGGTCCTCGTACTTTGAAAAAAAGATTTGCTCATTTTCAAAATTTTTAAAAGGGAAGATAGGCCTTTATTTTTTAAGTGATACGGTCCTTCAGTTTCAGTTTGGCTTGTATCCAGATTACAAATGGTAATGATTTGTAAATGCCCCTTTGTTACAAAAAAACAAAAAAAAGGAAAATTATTTGTTTTGTGATGAGGATGATGAAATAAATACCCCTATGTGTTATTTCTTATGCTGTTTTGCTATCTAAAATTTTGGGTTATGCCTGCCCCAGGACTCTGAAAGCAAATGTTCCCATTTTATGTAATCACCATTCATGCTTGATGCATTATGGTCAGACATTTCTGTCTTTTTCAATTTTGTCTATGTAGCCTACATCCTTGTGTTTACTCTTTGTTGTGTGAGTAAGATGACGAGGTGTTTTTTCTGCTTCTTTAGAAAAAAGGCAAAGCTCAAAAGTCCCCGAGTCATGAGCTCTGTGAAGCAGCGAGCAGAGCTGATGGGGACGACAAACCAACGACTCCAGATCAACACAACGCAAGCGACGACAGCGGCGGTAAACCGGAGACCTGTGACGCGGAAAAACCGACAGCTTCTACCTCAGGGTTACTCGGGGAAGGTGATGCGGCTGGAGAGAACGGGAAAATATCTGACAGAACGAAACAAAGAATAGTTGAAAATGGAGGACTGGAGGGTGCTGTGGGGCCCAGCAGTGCGGTGCCAGAGAACAAGTTGCTGTGTGGTGTTGGAGGCGGGGATGTGGACAGCAGCTCTCTGGCCGCCGATAGTTCCCCGGAAGGCAGCAAAGACGGGCTGGAGGGGAATGCCGACCGTGACGGGAACAGCTCTAAAGATGACCCATCCGGTGAGTTATCTGCTTTTGATTTATTGTCTTTTATCAGGGGATGTCGGTGAGCACTTTTGCACTTTGATCCTTGTTATTGCGCGAACTTTTTTTTAAAAAGTGTTGAACGACAGTGATTGGGGGGGGGGAGTCATAATTCTTTGTGTCGATCTCTCACTTTGCCCGTAGTCGTTTTCTTTATCTCACTTGATCTTGTACAGTCATTAACTGTTTGTCAAGGTAAAGGGTGGAAAAATGCAACAGACAGGTTGGAAAAAATGTGAACCTACCAGCCACACTGGCACAGAGGGTCTCATAGATGATTTTTTTGTCGTTTTCATTACTGTTAATGGGTTTTTTTTTCAAACACCAGGTCAACTGTCCTTGAAATGCCCAAACTATTGTGTCACTTTTGGGGACACAGGTTTCCTTCCACCACAACCAGTATCACATTTTCTGTTCTGTTTTCCCTGTAGATGCTGATATTGAGGATAACCTAGACAACGAAGTGAACAGACGCGAGACTTCTGCTACAAATAAACTTGCCAAAACAACCAACAACAGCAGCAGCGGTGTCCCACATCAGGGCCCAGTGTCCGAGGGAAAGGACCTTGACACTGTGGTGGTCACAGCCTCTCTCCCCGTGGCTGCCTCGGCAGCTGGCGGATGTGAGGATATCATCAACAATAACGTGGTGACTATTTCAAACGAAACCCCAGCGGAGAAATTGGCTGAAGCCGAACTTTGCTCAAAGTTCAACGGTTTAGAAGCACCGGGCTGCAGCAGCTCAAAGGATTGTGAGGAGAACAACGCAAAGACATTTTCATGTGAGGTCACCGTTAATAATCATTCAGATGTGGTGGATCTTTCCAACGCTATGGGCAACCTGGCGGTGAACGACTCCGCTGGAGCTACGGGTGACGCGGCAACGGCAGGAGGAGCCGTGGGCAAGAGCCCATCAGCGCCAGAACCAGACTGTGATAGGAAGCAGTGTCCTGAAGTCAGTGCCACGTTCAACCTGAGCTTGCCAGGGAACTCGGATGGGCTTAAGGGCTCCCCTAGAGAGGAGGAGGAGGAGGGGAATCATTCCGGTGCTTCTGCTAGTCAAGTTGGGAAGAACTCATCGTCGTTATCCAAGGTGAAAGATTTGGGTGAGGAGGATGAGTCCGGGGTACCTTCTACGGAGGAGAGACAGCAGCAGGGGGGGAACAAGGTGCTCAAGTCCAGGCAGGAGATCTTGAAGGAGGCTCGAACCTACTCCATGAGCACTTTAGCACCTCGGTGAGTGGCACAAACTCTCTTCTTTTTCCCTCTATAAAATTGTCTGATTTCTAACCATTAAATTGTAAAACTTGGTATGCATTTTCATAATTCAGCAATTTGTTAAAAACTTGATAGTGTGTCAGGTTTCGTTATTTAAATACTAACTGAAAAATTTGATGTTCTTTAATCTGTCAGTTTTTTTCTTATTCTGGTTTTGTTGTGATCTGCTCCTCGTTTTTAAGTGTTTCAGTTTCAGTTGTCATAAACAGTTCCCTTCAAAATATGGCTGTTATTGTACTGGCCTGTGTAAGGAGTAGGCCCAACGACTCAGTACTGATGTACTCTTTTCTCTGCCGCCCTGCTCCACTTCAGTCTTCACTGATCTGCTTTGTTCTATATCTCTTCTTGTTTGCTCTCTCCTCTCTACTCTTCGGGAGTGGCATTGGAGGATGCTTCTTGTGATTTCTTGTTTTTTCTCTCCTTTTTTCTGTTTTGTTAAATGTTTCCTGCACTGAATGACTTATTTAATGTGAATTTGCTTCTCTTTAATAATACTCAAATCGAATTCACCTCAACTCCATGCCTTTCCTATCTTTTTCATGCAACTTTTCTCTCTTCAACCCAATACCTCCTATGACCATTTATTTCCCCAGGGTGGGTGGTTGATGGGTGCCCTGATTTGGTTTGCTCCCTCTATCCTACCGAACACATCATCGCCTCAGAACTATTTTGTCCAAAGGGCCTCTTTATTTAAGTACATTTTGGACAAAATAGTTCTGAAGCGACAATATAACATCTTCATCTCTCCTCCTTCTTTTTACTATGTATATTACTCTCTAGTAGCTCCTTTAATCTTCATCATTTGTATTATTATAACCTTATAATGTTGAAAGTGCCGTATTACTCTTTACTAAACCTACAACAAACTTTCCGCAGGTACCACCCGGCCCCTCGGGAGTGCTCTGTCATGTCCTGTCTGAACCAGTTCACGGCGGCCGAGCTCCTCACTGGCTCCAACAAGGTCAGCTGTAAAGAATGCACCAAGGCCAAAAGGAAAAGCTCACAGCCTCCAAAAGGTGAGGGAAAACACTTACAGATTTTATGATTGGAATAATATGTGTGTGCGTCTAAATTCTATTGGGGGACTCTCGTGGCCTAGAGGTTAAGGTGTTGGCCTCTCATGCAAAGGTCCCGGGTTCGAATCCGGGTAGCGACCGAAAAATTTTCTTCTCTAAAATTGTCTCCTTTCACCTCCTTTCCTGCTCTCTAGCAATGTTCTGTTGTCTGCTTTCATTTCCACTTTCTGCCCCCGCCCCCTCACCTCCTTTGCTCCCTCCTCTGGGCTCCTGACTCTTTCTGCAGCCTTTCTACTGCTACTCCTTGGCTCCTCCTTACTGCTGTCTTTCTGCCACACCCCTGATCTTCTGGTAGGAAAGATCAACACCTAGCCTTCTCGGGCAAGGGCGAAAAATCTCGGAGGGCCTGTGTGCAAGTTGCGCACGTTAAAGATCCCTTGGTGGTCTAAAATTGATAAGAGTAGGCTTCGGCCGCCACCTGGGCAAAATTCAAAATTTCCTACCAACTGAAAATATTAGGAGTGTCCCGCGCGCTCATATGACCTATACTATGCAGTTGCGAGCGCCGTAAAACACTTTACAAAAACAAACAAATAAATTCTATTTTTCTCGTTTTATTTTTGTGAACTTTATTTGCCTAATGTATGTCAGCATTTCACAGATTTTTTTTAAAGGGACTCGTTAAACATTAGTACCCAGCCTGGTTACATTCCAAATTTTTTTTTGTTGTGTCATTTCTCCTGGTAGAATTTTTATACAATATATGTCATTAAGATTATTGCCTGCAAAAAATATGGCGCAGGTGGCATGTGGCTGATGGAGCATTTTCTTTTGAGATGTAGTGTGGATGTTACCTGCCAGCATACTCTCAGACGGGTTTTTCCTCATTTAGACCCTGTTTTACTTGCTTACTAACTTTGTTCTCAGTGATCATTTTCTATCTTGCTGTTCTTCATTGTCATGGCCTTGTGAATATCTTCTTTTTTTTTTTGTTGAAAGTTGTCTAGCATAGAGCATTGCATAAGTGGATATGCGTTATATAGATGCAATCCATTATTATTATTAGCTTCTAAATTTACTAAGCTCTTATTTTTTTTTTTTTTTTTTTAATTGAAACTTATCTAACTTTTACTGGTGTTTTTTTTTTTCACAGCTGAAAAGAAAGGGAAAGAAATGGTTTACTCCAACGCCAACAAGCAATACCTGATATTTCGCCCGCCAGCCGTCCTCACTCTGCACCTGAAGAGGTTTGAACAGGTGAGAGAGGTGGCTGCACTGATCCATAAGATTTGCAGTTATACATCAGTTTTAACCCCTCTGAAACTATGATATTTGAGAAATTTGTTCCAGTGTGTCATTAGTCAAGCTAGTATCATGCTGGAACTACGATATAAGTGCATCATCACCCCTGCCCCCTTTTCTCTCTTTCTCTTTCTCTTTCTCTTTCTCTCTCTCTCTCTCTCTCTCTCTCTCTCTCTCTCTCTTTCTCTCTCTCTCTCTCTCTCTCCTTTTCCCTCTCCCTCTCCCTCTCTTCGCTGGTGTATGAAAATGTCAATTTAGTGTAAGATGCTGATTGATGAAGTTAAAGAGGAATATGATAACTTTTTCCATTCTTTTTTTTTTTTGTCTTCCTTTCAAGCCCCCTTGATTTTTTGGTACAACTGGGTGTCAGAGGGAAAGGGGCGTACAGTGAAACAAAAATTCTGCTTGCCTTGATTGGTGACGATGGTTTTTTTTTGCATTCTACAGACTGGTCTGACGTCCAGGAAAGTGAATCGCCACGTGGATTTTCCTCTGTTGTTAGACCTGGCTCCTTATTGCAGCTCGTTATGTCTGGTATGCTTACCCTTCTTCGTTTCCTCTTTTTTTATTCTGTATTGTTGCTCATTGTGTAGACTAATCTTCATACCTCTGTGTTGTCTCTCTGGTTTAGTTTTGTAGCTCATATTGTGTCTGGTATGCTTACCCTTCTGCCTCTATTGTTCCGTACTTATATCTTCTTAGTGTAGCTCTCTACTTTACCTCTGTTTTTATTCTGTAATGTTGCTCATTGTGTACACTGATCTTCATACCTCAGTGTTGTCTCTCTGGTTTTACTTTTGTAGCTCATTATGTGAGGCAGCGTGGTGGAATCAGGCTCTCGTCAATTTTGGGGCATATGGATTTATAGGTGTCATCTTAAAGCTTGTTAATTTGTCTTTATTTGGATGAAAAAAATATCCATTTATCTTGAGTACAAGTCAAGATATTTGCGAAAGAAGGTGGGGGTTACCTGTTTTCGGATGTAAAATTATTGAGAAAATGACCGCCAAAGATTAGTTATGTCCTTAGCTTAAGAGTCCGTGGTAACTGAAAATTTACATTTTTGTGCCTTTTATCAACGCTTTTCAGAAAAATCCACACAGAAATGAGTTCTTTAATGGGCATGAAAGGTGTTGAGCCAAAAAACAAAAATTTGAAAAAAATTCACAAACCTGCGGAAAAATGCAGGTTTCTTCACTTTGATTATTTTGACGAGAGCCTGATTCTACCACGCTGCCTCACATATTGTGTCTGGTATGCTTACCCTTCTGTCTCTATTGTTCCTTATTTCTATCTTCTTAGTGTAGCTCTCTACTCTACCTCTGTTTTGTCTCTGTCTTTTCCACCTCTGTTGACTCTCCGTCCTACTTCTTATACACAGTGGTTCTTCTTTCTTTTGTTTCGCTGCATGGTTTAGTTTTGTGGATATCATTTGGTCGCTTTTAAGCACGAGGGGGCTATCCCGAAAAATGCTGTTTTGAGAAAATCGAAGGTTAAGTTTTTTGTCCCTTGTTCAGTTTCTTTAAAAAACGAGGAGAGTTTTCTTTATAACCAAACAAATATACACACCAATAAAACCAAACTTCTCCTATAGGTGGGGCAATTTCAACTTTTGGTGTAGGTCAAAATTTCTGGAAACCCCCAAAATCTGGGTTAGCCCGCTTGTCCTTAAATGCGACCATCTAAGGGTGGCATAAAATGAAGGACACAATAAAAGTAAAGACAGCATTTAGAGCAGCCGATGTATCAGCTCTCATTTTCTTTGTTTAACGTCCATGGAGTTGAATTAAACAGAGAAGTCAAGCCCCTGAAAGCTTATTCATCGGCTCACTCAACGAGAGCTGGTCAGGTTCAACTCATTTGTATTTTTGTGTCACTCTCTTAGTGGCTGTGTGTGTGGTTGATGGGTGCTCTGGTGTCGTTTGCTCCTTCTTGCCAATCAAACTTTCAAACATGTGCCATCCTTATCTCTGTGGGTGGTTGGCAGGTGCTCTGGTGTGGTTTGCTTCTTCTTTCCTGTCAAACTTCTATCTTCCTAATCTCCCCTCCTTCTTTTTTATATTTGTTCCTCTCTTGTAACACCCTCTAATCTTCTGGCGCTCATATACCTTATGCAGTTGTGAGCGCTGTAAAACTACTAAAACTAAAACTAACTGTCTCTCTGTTTTCTACCTTTGTGTTGACTCTCCGTCCTACTTCTTATACACAGTGGTTCTTTGTTTTGTTTCGCTGCATGGTTTAAGTTTTGTGGATATAGTTTAAGGGCGAAATAGATTGAAGGACACAAAAGTACAGGCAGCATTTAGGACAGTCAATGTATCAGCACTCATTTTCTTTGTGTAAATTACTCACATTGAATTTGAAATAAACAGAGAAGTCAAGCCCCTGAAAGTTTATACATCGGCTCACGCCATCAGAGCTGGTCAGGTTCAACTCATTTGTATTTTTGTGTCACTTTCTTGTGGCTGTGTGTGTGTGGTTGATGGGTGCTCTGGTGCATATGCCGTAAAACTTTCTTACTAAAACTTTAAAAACAAAATTTGTCCCCACCAGGGCGTGAAGGCTGGCCAGTCCAAGGTGCTGTATTCGCTGTACGGCGTGGTGGAGCACAGCGGCCGTCTGAGCGGCGGCCACTACACGGCCTACATCAAGGTACGGCCGGGCCTGGGGCCACACACACAGTTCCTGCACGGCAACCCGCCCAACCCGCTGGACCTGCTCAGTGTGTAAGTAGCTGCTCGTGCTGTTGGTGTTTTAGGCCTATGTTGACATAATTTAGGTTATGTGGAAAACTGGCTTCTTTCTTTCTTTTTCTCGGTCTCATCGCACTTGAGGTCCGGTATCTATCATATACTGGGCCGTCGTGCTCTGTCCGTCTGTCGGCCTGTACAGTTTCTCTTGCAGTGTCAACGGGGTTGGCCACGTTTGGAAAGCAGGCTGTTTGGGCCTTTCATGTCAGGGCCAGCCCAAACTGAGTTCAAGTACAGCTTTCAAGCTGATGGAACTTGCAACTTCCTTGTGCAATTGTACAGAGCCTTTATGCTTCACCACAAACACCAGTTTGGCATTTTTGTAATGGATAAATTAAGAGATTACCTATAACAAAGACCAATTGAGTGAGACTGATGCCGGATTTAATTTTGAAATAGAGCTTTTTATGTTGTACACGATTTCTTGTTTTGAGCCCCAAGGATGGAAGCCTGATTGTTAGATGGCTTGGTGGGGGGTCTTGTAATTTGAAAATATTTCTTAACATTTGAGAGATATGATAAAAAAAAAATTTAATCTCCACAAAGATAAATTTGTAAATACATACATTCACACATCAGCACACTCACACAGACACGCACACTCTCTCGCACAACCACTCACACTTTCATACACAGGCACACACGTATATAACCATTGGATGCACATATGAAATTACGTTTATCTAGAACGACGGAATAGCTCGTATTGGTGATAGTATTTGTTAATTTTCATAACTATTGATTCTTGTTTGGTTGGGTTTAAAACAAATAAAATAAAATGGACTCCCATCTTCAGGTATATGGAGCGAATTGTGAAGAGCAAAGAATGCTATGCCGGTCAGGAGAGCGGGTGGCCTAAAGGTGACCCTCAGGCAGCGCCGGACGTGATGGACAAGGAGACGGAGGCACGCGCCGAAGCCCTGGTCGCGCCGGGCCGCTGGTTCCACATCAGCGACAGTCGAGTCAACGAGGTCACGGAGACAGAGGTTCTCAAGGCACAGGCGTACCTGCTCTTCTACGAGAGGACGTTTTAATGACAGGTCTATAATGCTAGAGCGTCTGAATAGGTGAATAGGTTTATATGGAATGAAAGTGGGATTTGTACAGGCTTATTCAGGGTTTTTTCCCCGCAGTTTTATCTTCTACTATTTAATGATTTCATGAATAATAAATTGTACTGTAATATAGTATTCGTAGATACATGAAGTTAAGAGAGGTGATTTTATGTCTAATTTCCTCTCCTTAAGCTTGTTTTTTTATCTTTTCTTTGAGAAGATATTTATTGATTTCTACGCTCTGACATATGTGCCCATCGACTGAGATTTTAGGGGTTTTTTTTTTTTTTTTTTTTTTTGTGTGAATTTTTTTTTACCCCAAATTCTCAGCTTCATCTTCTTTGTTGTGAGTTGTTGGAGTAACTTGTATAGGGTAATAATGTACTGGTGAAATATGACCTGTGGTGGGTTGTTGTTTTTTCTTGCATTTTTACGTCTTTGCCCATATCGCACGTACGTGTACATTCTTGAGAAAAAAAAGTCTTAAGACTTAATAGAAAGTGATGGTATCATGCACATTTTTCATCGTTTTTGAAAGATAGTTTTTTTCTGTAATTGTGTTATCCGTGGTTTGAGATTTTTATATAACATGTATGTGGCTTATAACCCTTTCGCACTTAGCAGGCTTGGCCAGCTGTGGGGCGCCCCCCCCCCACCCCGCCCCCCAATCCTTAAGAGAAGGACAATAACTCCGTAAAAATTGGAGGGGTACCTTTCTAGTGTAAAATCACACACGCGGGTATGGTTGTAAAAAAAAAATCGCATAAAATCGTAAAAACAAACCACAACAAAAGCAAGGACAGTCTCAGAAGGAAAATCGAGAATAGTATACAAAAATAATTAAGTGAGAGCAAAAAAAGAAAATAAAACAAGAGCTTCTTGAGTGGACATTGAGGCATGTATTTTTTCAACTCGCGAGGTAGTCCACACAACAGAAATGCAACTCATTCACTAAGATTGAAGCTTAGCAAGCCTCTGGTGTAAACTTGCAAAGCACTTCCCTTTACATAACCGGCTTTTGCAAATAAGGCACCCATAACACGTTTCAGGTGGCCGACCTTTGGGTGTTTTTACTTTGTTTCTGCTGCCCTCATAGCAGACAGCTTCGCGGCCGTGCATCCTGGAGATCTGATGGTCAGAGCTCAGCGACGATCCGAGCCCAGCTGTTGAGTGGTTCGCTTCCCCTGCTGATGTTGCCAGCGACAAGCGACGATACGACAGGCGGAAGCGAAGCTGGCTGAACGGGTGCTGATTTCCAGGCAAGGGGCGGTTGGCGGCTTTGAAAAGTATTGACGCATTGGCCAGGGACATCTGAACAACGAACCAGAGCACATACCTCCACCACTTCACACTCTTGCGGCCGACAGCGTAATAAGACCGCAGCTGATCAGAAAGATCCACCCCGAACATGTATCGGTAGTAAAATAAGATGGCATCTGGCTTCATCATGGGCTCTGGTCCATTCTTGCCCCGACGCATCACCATGCTGACACCTGGAGTGACATTAGTCGACAGCACACTCACCTTATGCGTGTCAACCCGCTAGATTGTCCCCTTTTGTCATCATTTTCAGGTTCTCCTTGTCCTTTTTCATGCCCTTCGTCGGCCTATCTTTTAGAGGTGCAGGAGTGGGTGGTTGGCGGGTGCTCTGGTGTGGCTTGCTCCTTCTTTCCTCTTAAACATCTGTCGTCCTTATCTCTCCTCCTTTTTTACGTTTGTTGTTACTCTCCTGTAACACCTCTAATCTTCGGCACTTATATGACCTTATTGTGTTGCAAGTGCCGTAAAACTCTTTACTAAACTAAAAGAAAAAAGAAAAAAAGAGGTGCAGGCCAACCCTTTCTGTTGGTAGGGATTGTGCTGGGCAGAAGAAGGTCCTCGGATAGTTGCACACTGGAGAAAAAGTTGTCATAGAAAAAATGACACTACTTATCCAGGAGTCGGTTGCCGGTCGTCATGACCCCGTGATGGCCAAGACCGTGAGCGACTGGCTACTCTGATTCGGCGGTGTACACATTGAAATCCAACGTGTACCCGGTCTCTGGATCTGCAATACACCACACCTTTATTCCCCACGGGGCGGGTTTTCCTTGCATATACTGCTTCATGTGCAGTCGACCGTCGAACCCAATCATCGCCTCATCAATGCTGAGGCACTTTCCAGGTACGTAGTGTTCTTTGATGCTGCGGAAAGGACAGAAAACATTTATTACTAAAAATTATTCAGGAAGTTATTTTACCTGTAATTTTTTGTTATGAAAATATAAATGAAATACACTGCTTTCTGTTTTCTAATGTAAAATCTCATTGCGACATCACGTACACTGGAATTCTAAACTTACAAAAGTAAATGTTGACGTGAAGAAATATTATTCACATTTCTTTCTTTCCCCAAACTATAACAAAATGTTTTTCAAAATTCATAAAGACATTTTTTTATAGTGTGTGATTATACAGACTGGATGCTATGAGTTAGGATCATATAAACTGGACATAAATAATGCTGTAGGCTTTACAAGTGTTATAAAGATATTATTTACTGCACCTCATTTTCCTCAAAGTGAACCACTGCGCTCGCACTCATATGACCTAAGCAGTTGCGATCGCAGCAAAACTCATACCATACCAAAACCCTGAAATTTTATCTTCCACTTACTTGTTTGTGAAGGCTTCAATGGCGGGTCGCACCTTGTAAAGGAGATCGTAGTTCTCTTCGCCTCTTGGGATCTGTTATGAGGAGTCATTGAGATGCAGGTACTGGCAGATCTTCTCATGTCGACTCTTTCCCATTGTGTCAGCAATGCCAGGAACGCACAGTCTGTTGTCCTCACACCAGTACATCACGTACTGGGGCAAGTCTTGGATCCCCATCAAGATCACATGTTTGCAATGAAAACTTTCATGCCTTTGACATCCACCTCTTTCCAGCCGGTGTCCTTCTTCCTTTTTTGCTCTTGCTGCTGCTTAGCATACAGATTAGTTTCGTGAACAATGCGTTCGAACAAAGACTCAGGGAAGAACAAAGAAAGAAAAAAATCATGAGGTGGGGCATCGAATAGCAGGTCGTGTTGCTGAATATCAGCGTCTGCATATGGCCTCACTTTGACAGGTTGAGCCGGAAAAGTTGGAGGCAGTGGTATTCAGTCATCAGGGTCTTGTGTGGTGTTGTTGCCTGTGTTTGTTGTGTCACCGCCTGCGTTGACATTCTCAGTCTCCTCGGTCCCAGTCGCCATCTTCCCCTCCATCATTGTCATCATTCTCCACCACAATATCTAAGTCTACGTCGGATTCGTTGTCATTTGAAGCAGCATTCTGAATACCTGTAACCCCTGATGTATTTACATCCAGTCCATATAGGTCACCATCGTAAATAGTGCCAGTGGCCTGGCGAAACAAACTCAAAACTTCGTCCATCGCTGAGCACAGCTGAGTTGAAAGTTAGTGGTGTGTTTACAGCTGAAAACCAGCTGCAACTTTTGTTCCTGCTCAAAAAGTGACTCTTTGTGCTAGCGAAACAAGAAAAACACCATGGTAAATGGGAACTCTTCCTCTCTAAAGATAACTAAGTGAAATTTCCATTCGTAGTAAAAGTAGAAGCCTCCCGCGGCAACGAAACAAGCACCTCCGTGGCGGGCGCTATAGGGATGAGCGGGGGTCACCGGCGCGGGCGCATTCGGGCGCTGTAAGTGCGAAACGGTTAAATATGAAAACTGTTCTCTAAACCTGGGTTCAGTTAAAATTCTGCCCTTAGGTATGTCATTCAAGTACGGTGTTTCTTGAGCTGTTTCTTACACCTCCAAATGTAACCCTTTTTGTGGAAATAAATTGTTACCCTCTACTTATTCTAATGCCTAAGTTGAGTCACGTCACAAGGCTGTGTTGCTTTCAAAGTTGAAAATGGATGGGTAAAAAAGTAGTCATGGTGATATGTGGTTTTTATCAAATAGACATGAAAACTTTCCTTGGTTTTCATGTCTTTAAAGTTTTCATGTTTAGTGTCTTAGTTTGGAATCTTCTAAAATCTTATTGTAAAAGACTTTCCAAGTCATCCAATGAGGAGTTAAGGTCATTCATGTTTCAAATTTAAAAAACCCTAGAACCTGTCCTACGATACCCACCCATTGTTGACGAGAAAAATAGTCATCATAGCTAGATGGTCCTCCTGGGCAGTGTTATTTTGGTATACAAAAAATACAAGGTAGGAAGCAGTCATTTGTACAAGTGATTGTCTTGGACTGATAGTTGTAAGGGCAAATTCGACTGTGCTTGAATATGGAAAGCTGACCGTGCTGTTTTAATATACTGGATCATACATTTCAGGAATAAATTTGTTCCTGTCTGTAAAGACTTGATTAATCTCCTTGAATTGTTTCTTCAATTCTGACAGTTGAATGGTTGAAATGCAGTTGGTGTTGTTACCTAGGAATCTGAGCAGTTGACAGACTTGCCTTACTCCTGCGTTTGTGTTTCTCTACCGATGTTTGTTGCCAGTAAATATATCCTTGTTACTCTTGGAAAGTTCAGCAAAACTGTGGTGCCTGTTTCTAGACGAACCTGTGATGTGATGTCACTGGACTATTGTGTTGTTTGCAGGACTGAAGAAATAGTTCCTGTGCATGTCTGTAATGTTGTAATAATTATTTTATCCTTAATTGTGGGGTCAGAAAGGAAATTGCAGACTTAAACTTCTGCTGTTTTGTAGGGAGAGGTCTTTATTTAAGTTTGTTGCGGTCATTTGTGTTTGATACCATAATTTGAATGTATGATACAAATTGATGCCATAAAGTTTTGATGTGACTGCGCACTTTATTCAGTTGGTTTTTTTCCTCATATGTGTGTCTTGCTGAGGTGTGTCATTGCAGGTTCTGTTCATCAAGTCCCAACGGTTAGATTGGAACTGGCCAAAAGTTTTTGATTTCTCCTTTTCCCTGTTTGTTCTCAGGATCTTCAAGCACCTGTGTCAAACTTTTGGCGGTTTTGGGTTTTTTTTGGTTTTTTTGTTTCAAACATTTTCATATTACAACCTTCTGCTACTGTTGGAAGTAATTGAGGGGGGTGGGGGGGTCTTTGTAAACTTTGTTGTTGTTATTGATTGAGCAGCGTGACAACGGCAACTTTCTGTGCACAAAGAATTCTTCATGAACGAGGATATCATCAGGCCATCAATTACTATTGCCTCTAGCTTCCAAGTTTGAAAAGATTCTGCCATAATACGGTTATTTGCAAAACAGTCCTCACTCAGACTTGTGTGCTTTTGAGTCTAGTGGATAAAGACTTTGGTACTCTCTGAGTCTAGTGGATAAAGACTTGGGTACTCTCTGAGTCTAGTGGATAAAGACTTGGGTACTCTTTGAGTCAAGTTGATATTAACCTGTTCCAAGTCGGCGTCTAGCGAGACTTTACCCACTTTGGTCATGAATGTAGCTAGTGCAAGTCATTAGTTCTGTCATATTTTATTTTCATTTCTGCATATGATTAGTGGGCAGGCACTCTGGTGGGGTTTGCTCCCTCTGTTTACTTTTCCAGTGATTTGAATATTCTTTCTATTGTCTTAATCTATTTTGGTCCAGTGCAAATGTTGCTTGCCACACTCATTTGCTATCCACTTACTTATCGCCCGGTATCAAATGCTTGTTATTTGAATCTAGAAATCTGTGTATTACATAATTTTTTGTTTAAGGGCTGTGCTGCTGTCTTTGTTTCAGTTTGATGTCATTCCTATATCGTGTATCTTCATAGAATACGAATACGCTATGTATGGGTTATCTACTGTCCATGAACTGCTGGCAATATTTACTGCTAGCGTCTCACTTGTTCCTCGTTCTGTCTTTGTTACCCTCGACTCGTGTGGAGGATGCCAAGATTTGCTGTTGATGGAATTTTCAAATGTTTTATGCTTTTGTTAAACATAAGCTCCTCAAGAATTGTTGTCTCTCATTTTTCATGTTGTTTCATCAATTTTTAGTGTTCCTAAGATGCAGTAAAATTCCTGTGTTACATAGAGCGAATAGCTAGACCTAGGCCACAGCAGTGAATTTTTACTTCCCTATATATGTCACAACAAAAATCCCTGCTTTAATCATATCTTGTTTACTTCTTTATCGCTAACGCTCTTTGATATTGTAATTATGTCTGCAGAATGTCATCCGTATCTCATTTGCAAATATTTTTGTTGAAAGAACATGCGCAGCACGGCACAACGTGTTACTGCTTTTGTAGATCTGGTTACATTGTGGTTAATACAATTTTAAGCAATTGCAATTTAAACCTGCAGCTTATTGTCCGCTGGCTGTTTAAATGTACTAGGCCCAAAAAGAAAATCGTTGATAAATAAATGCCAACAATCTTTGTGACTTGACAAGGACTTTAATGATCCAGCTCATACATGTAGTCTTGTCGCTACTGAATGAGATTCCTCTATGCCCCCCCCCCCCCCCCCCCCCCAAGTCTTTGGAATGGAACAGAAAAGACTGATGTAATGTCAA